CATTTTACCATTTTAATTTATTTTGATTATCTTAGTTGACTACAATAAATAAATAAATATTTTTTTTCAATTCAAATATAAAAATTATGCTCAACTCTTTTAAAAGTTATTTTTATAAATTATAGATATTAAATATACTCTAATCATAAAATAAAATAAAAAAATTATCTCATTATTACTAACTTAGTTGAATTGTGAATCATATTTAGGGATGAAAAATTTATATAACATATGCCACTAATATCATTCTCAATGGAATTTGATTCAAGAATTTAAAATAAATAAATTTAAATATGATTTGATTAAAATTAAATACCGAGAAATGAGTAGTTTATCCAACTCATCATCTAAATTGACTTCTATTTAGTCTTTTAATCTATTTTTTATTTTATAAATTTAAAATTATATTTATCAATATATATATATATATATGAATTTAAAATTTATTTTATGATTTCAAAATAAAAAACTTTTATTCTTAAGAATCAATTTAAAAAATAATTTGGATAAATAAAGAAAATCTTACACCTTACTCAAATAAATAAAAAAAATATTTGAATAATATATTTAGATATTCTGGATAAAAAACAAAATTTAACTTTGACTTGTACATAAATCTATCTATCATAAATATCCAACATAAAAGGAAAAAACAATTTATAGAAGAATATAAATTTATTTATCAAAAATTAAAAAAATTGAAAAGTTATATATAGAGAGAAACAAAAATAAATGAAAAATATTTTAGATATTAGTTTTTAGGTCTGCCACGTGTCAAGATTTAAAAGGAGCAACTGTTTCTGTTATTTAACGATCGTCTGTCTAATAAATAGACAGCTGATGAGGTCCGGAAAACAAAAGAACTACGCACAAAGAGAGAAAGCTATACTTCAAGAGCTTCAAATACTTTCTGTAAATGGAAACTACCATGTTCACCGAGTTGATCCCGAATTTGCCTCAAGAACTCGGTCTTGAGTGCATGACTCGGTTGCCTTACACAGCTCACAGAGTTGCTTCCCAAGTTTGCAAGCAATGGTGTGACTTACTGGAAAGCAAGGATTTTTATTACCACAGGAAGAAACTTGGCTACACCCATAAAGTTGCTTGTCTAGTTCAAGCTGTTCATGGAGCTGATGTTTTACAGGGATCCAAACAAGGTAACTCACCGTGTTTTGGGATCACTGTGTTTGACTCAGCGAGTCAGACATGGGAGAGACTCGACCCCGTGCCCAATTATCCGACCGAGTTGCCCTTGTTTTGTCAATTGGCAAGCTGTGAAGGGAAGCTCGTGGTCATGGGTGGGTGGGACCCGGTGAGTTATGAACAGGTGAGTCATGTTTTTGTGTATGATTTCACAACAAGGAAGTGGAGAGAGGGGAAGGAGATGCCTTCCAAGAGGTCCTTTTTCGCTATTGGGTCGTATTCAGGTCGGGTTTATGTCGTGGGCGGGCATGATGAGAATAAGAATGCATTAAGAACTGGGTGGGTTTATGATTTGAGCAAGGATGAGTGGACTGAGTTAACTCAAATGAATCAAGAGCGAGACGAGTGTGAGGGAGTGGTGATTGGGGATGAGTTTTGGGTGGTTAGTGGATATGGGACCGATAATCAGGGGGCATTTGAGGGAAATGCTGAGGTATATGAATTCGGGTCGGGTCAATGGAGGCAGGTGAAGAAGGCATGGATTCCGGGCCGGTGCCCGAGATCTTGTGTTGGGGGAGGGAAAGATGGGAGATTGATGAGTTGGGCTGACTTGGACCCGATGGTTCGAGCCGGGGTTCGTGGGATCACGTTGGGCTCTCGGGTCATGCTTACCGGGTTGGATAACCAAGGTTCACCCGAAGAGTTCTATTTGATAGAAATGAAAGATGGTCAAAATGGGAAATTGGAGAAGATCATTGTGCCTGATGAGTTCTCAGGGTTTGTCCAATCTGGCTGCTGCGTGGAGATCTAATGGAAAGCTGCCATTGGTGGGCATGCAAGATAAGTATAAAAAAGGGTTATTAATATTGCAGAGCATCGATCAATTTTTGTTCCCTATAACATGCATGAACAATGGGGGAAAGAACAGGGAAAATACAAGCCAGATGTGTCGTGTTCAGAGAGGAGTTGAATTTGGGTACCCAAGTACATACACAGAGTGCACCTCTTTGCACAAATTCAACCCCCTATGCTTTCTTGCTGCAGTGGGTGCTCGTTTGGCAATGCGATGCACTACAATGTAACATATGTTTCCTTGGTAAAAACATTAAAAATGATGTTTTTACTTTGACATACACGCGTTGTCAAATATTGTGACCCAAAAAAAGCTAGTATGATGATGATGTGAATATTAGCTTGTATATTGAATGATATTGCCATGTAATGAACACTTGAGATGAATGGTAATGATGTTGCCATGTAGGCTTGTTTTGGATATGTTTAGCAGTCTTTGTCCTCGGTTTTCATTACTTTTTATCATATAGTTTGTATCCATTTAATATGGGTTATCCATTTCATAATGGAACCCAATTTTCACTCTATAGTGGTGTCTAGAAGAGGTTTCACACGCCCATAGAGCACCATTTCCGAGAGCAGGAGGGCTGAAGCTACGATCGAGGCATGATCTTGTGGTCTCGAAATCTTTTGTGTACAAGACTTATCCAGGAGCATGGTGTGGTGCAGTTCAAACAGAGCTAGCTAATATTCATTATAATTTTACTTTGTTCTCGCTACAAACTCTCTCTCGAAACCTTTATTATAAAATAGCTATAATTTATAGCTTTTTTTTACACCTATTTTTTCGAACTATAACAGCAGAAACTACACGAAAGCTGGTTTAGTCATGTGTATTTTGAATCTTTCTCGGTATGCTTTGAAGCCCAACCAAACAGCAACCATCTTTATATATATATATAAAATTCAACAAGAAGAGGGAACAAGAAAAATCATTTAGATGGTCAGGGCAATTTCTTAAATCTAGGTATCACAAAAGGTAAAAAACGTTGTGCTTAATCACTCTAAATTAAAGAATCTTTCAGAGTTCAGGGGTACCTCTTCTTTTCCTGAGGAGACATCACTCTATACCTTAATTTGTTGGTGCTTTGTAAACTCCCAATGGCCTGCATGCATGGCCGTCTAATCATTGTTGGACACCGAAATTCTAGAAAACTTCATAGTTTTCTCTTTAACAAGACATAGTATTTCACAATATGCCGCGTATATACTCATTCCATCAACTTGCCCTAATCTCTACACTCTATATATAAATATTCTGATGCTTCCTAGCTCTCACCCCTCGTGCAAATATTGTGCTGTGATTAAGCTCTAGCTCAAAAAACTATGGCATCCGTCTTCAAGAATTTCATTGCCTCTTCTGTTATGACATTGTTGTGTTTCAGTTTGTACTTTTATCCATTTGCATTGGCTCAAGATTCAGGAACTGCGACCTTCTACACACCCCCATACGTTCGTAAGAATTTCTTTCATCCCCTAAAAAAATTAATCAAGTATAATAAATTAGCCATGTATTCTTCTTGTTTTCTCTCTCCCTTTCATGATTTAATTTATTTGTAAACTCAGCTTCTAAATGCTATGGATATGAAGATCAAGGAGTGATGATTGCAGCTGCAAGTGAAGGGATTTTTAACAACGGGGAAGCTTGTGGGCGATATTACCAAGTAACTTGTGTTAGCGGGACAAATGAGGGCATTCCATTCCCTTGTTTGGATAATGGGTCAGTTGTTGTGATGATTACAGATCTTTGCCCTCCGGATTCTTGTAGGGGTACCATTGATTTGTCAAAAGAAGCTTTTGCCTCCATTGCTGACCCCAATTCTGGCGTTATAAACATCTCTTACCAACAGTAAGTCTACATTAAGGGCTCGAGAAATTAATTCTTGTTAATTTGTGATATATTTGAATGCTTTAACATGTCTGATATTGTATGTTCAATTACCATGCAGGATTTGAGAGAAGAAGCATGCATTGAAGAAAGAACCAGCACGGATTTTGGTTAATGCATTCTGATACTGATCAAGAAATGAATGGCTACCTGATCGATTGAATGTTGTTTGTTTGTTTTATTTAATCCAATAATTGGACAAGAAATTGTACCAAAAATTACAAATTAAAGAATTTGTTTTTTTTCCCGCTATTTACATACTTTTAGTATTGTTCAGGGGTCAAAATACAACGGAATTTAAGACAAGTGAGCGGGATATTGTTTTGAATCTTTTGAAGAATGCATTAGGCATCAGAAAGATAATTTAGTCCATCGGACCTCGTAAAGAACAAAAAAGAAAAGACAAGGCTACTACATGAACCATGCCAACCTGTTTGCCCTTTGAAGGAAATTGTGAGCATTGCGGTCATGCTCATGCATAACTTCAATGCCTAGATAAGCACGGTTTATAATATCCGCGTTTCGTTGCTAGCAACCTTGGCTTGTTTAGCCTTTTTCGACTACCCGAGGATCTAACGGATAAATGGTATTTCCAAGACATGAAGTACAAAAAGAGTCAATCTGTATAGTATTTGCATGCATGGACAACAAGAATGGCAGAAGGAGCCATAGCAGAGGAAAAACAGAGTAGAGTTGTTAAAGGGAGAGAGCCAGGGCCACATAAATATTGATACCAAACTGTTCATACACATTGCCCTTTGGGCGACTTCGTATCTTTCTGTATCATGTCCTCTTGGACAAAGATGCAAATTGGTACAATGATGTGCTTCTTAAAATGAAGTGAATATTTTTGTTCAGATTCTACAAAAAGTGTAATGGATCTTCTAGCGGGTTCTGTTGCTGTAATTTGAGGAGAATCTATTTTACTAACGTTCAAGGAAGCAAGCAGAAACTATCAAATAACACATTTGATACTTATATTTTTATTTTTATTTTACAAAATTCGTGAAAATTAAGAGTTTGGAGTTATAATGCTTTATAACATAGCATTTTTTCATGAACCATTAGACTAGTCCTTGGAGAAAGAAGAAAAGATTTTCATCTTCTGTTGGACTCATCAGCATCTAGATGTCCTTGAGCACTTCAAAGCACCTGCAGAGCTTGTCAATGCCTTCACATACTTGGCATCTCCAACCTTGAAGCTTTGCTCCTTATTGTAGTTAGGCTTTGCCATACCTCTGCGACCTGTTTGGAAAAATGAAGCTCCATTCGTAAACAGATCCCCTATGGAGTAGAAGTTCCAGGGCTTGCTTTTCCCACTGATCCCATTTCTCCATGTCACCTGTTATTTCAAGTGTCTGGTTATCGTTTTTCTGATCAATATTTAGCCATCCTTTCTCCTAATTTTGTAAGAGGAAGAACAAGCGTTTGACAATTGTTATTATTACCTCCTTCTTTCCTGATGTTGGTGCAATAAAATAGTTGGATTCGCTCTTGATACTAGGACTCATGCTTCCCCCAATTGCATACTGTTCCCATCCTCGATACAGATTGTTGGCTACATGTGCATATCCATGGCGAATCCTGTGTTACATAGTTTTGAATTCTTCTATTAAGATTCACCATTTTACATCATGCAAAAATTATGTTCAAGAAGTGCGTCCATATTGGGGGGGGGGGGGGGGGGGGGGGTTTTTTGT